TCTTCGACGTGAAGGACATCGACCCCGAGGGCAAGAAGTTCGACCGGGGTGAGTGTGGCCCCGGCGGTGGCCCCAGTGCCCCATCCCCTCGCACGCCCCTCCGTGTGTTGCTGCTGTCCTCCCCATTCCACACCCCACCGTGCTCCTCTCGCTGCCTGTGCACACCTCAGTCAGCTCCTGGGCTCTGGCATCCGTCCCCAAACCCTGTGCAGCCCAGCAGCTCGGGTGCCTGACGGGGTGGGGAGGGGACCCAGTGCTCACCCAGCACTCCCGAGGATCTTCTCTGTGCTGGTTCCTGACTCTGCCGCTCTCCCCAGTGTCTCGCCTGCACTGTGAGAGTGAGTCTTTCAAGATGGATCTCATCCTGGATGTGAACATCCAGATCTACCCCGTGGACCTTGGTAAGCCATGGTGCTGCTAGCCCAGAGTGGGTCAGCCAGTGTCAGCTTGGGTGGGTGAGGTTAGAGAAGGGCTCAGAGAATGGACCCTGAATTTGCCGTGGACAAGAAATGAGCTGTCTCAGGTTCCTTGTGCCACCGTGCTGTCCCCAGGTCACAGGAGGTTCTGGGCACTCTCAGTGTGCTGGTTCTGGTTCACCTCACTGTGTGTGTATGGGCTCATGCCCGTCCCATTCCCCAGAGACACTGTCTGGGGAAGCTGCCTTAGCAGGTGTTGACCAGGCTTTAAGGGAGACATTTCGAAATTAAGTTCTGCAGCTAAATATACAACGGGTGATAAAGAATCTTACCTTCAACGAAACACAAAAGGTCTGGAACTGGTGCTGAAGGGGCTCATGTACCTGCCTAGGGTCCAGCCAAGCCCTCTGGGACTCTCCCTGTGAATATCTTCCTGTGTCCCATGAAAACATCAGCAGTGGTGTCCCTGTGGCTCTGATTCCTTCCATGGTGTGGGGAATATCTATGGGGAATGGGAGAACAGAGGATCTAATGTGACCTTTCACTCGTTCCCCACAGTTCTGTTGGAGCACGAGCAATAGGGACAGGGCTTGTTTAGCACAAGACAAACAACTGCCAGGGTGACCCTTTGTCACCACTCTGAGTTATGGCTATGGCTGCTGTTGCTCTGGCTGTGCCCCTACCTAGTCATCACTCCTCTGCCCTCTCCTCCCAGGGGACAAGTTCCGCCTGGTCATTGCCAGCACCTTGTACGAGGATGGCACCCTGGATGATGGCGAGTACAACCCCACAGACGATCGGCCGTCCAGGTATGGGGCCCAGCAGGGACCCACATGGTGGGGGATGAGGGAAACGGTGAAGTGCTGAGGTTGAATATCTCAAGTTGGACATTAAGAAGAATTTTTTCACAGAAAGAGTGATTAGATACTGGAATGGACTGCCCAGGGAGGTGGTGAAGTCACCATCCCTGGAGGTGTTTAAGGAGAAACTGGACATGGCACTTAGTGCTATGGTCTAGTTTGTGGTGTTCAGCCATAGGTTGGACTTTGTAGTCTCAGAGGTCTTTTCCAACCTGATTGATTCTGTGACTGTGGGTTGCCTTGTCTCAGAGGACACTGAGCTGTGGGAACACCCAGGTTTGATCCGTCCCTGACCTCACACTGTGCTGTTGCAGGGCAGACCAGTTTGAGTACGTGATGTATGGCAAGGTGTACCGGATTGAAGGGGACGAGACCTCCACAGAGGCAGCCACACGCCTGTGAGTGCCTGTCAGCAGGATTGGGGGGCAGAGTGCCCCAGGGTGGTGTGGGGGGCACTGGGATCTTGGCTCAGGTCTCCCACAGGATTCCCTGCTCTCATCACTCCTCTCTTTCCCCCCCAGCTCTGCCTACGTGTCCTACGGAGGGCTGCTCATGCGGCTGCAGGGAGATGCAAACAACCTGCACGGCTTTGAGGTGGACTCTCGTGTTTACCTGCTGATGAAGAAGTTGGCCTTCTAGCACACCTCTGTGGGCTGCCCCACACACATCCTGCTGGCGAGCAAACAGGAGCCCCGAGACCCCAAATTCTGCCCCAGTATCCATGTTGCCTGGCCCCTCTGGAGCGGGGGAGGAGGGAGCAGTCCCCCTGCTCATCTTGGCTTCTTCTGACTCCCGCTGGGATCTGCAGCCTTGTTTGCAAGGAGAGAGGTGCCTGACATCTGGGTGGAGACCATGACGAGTGCTCCACAGTCCTGACTGCTGGAATCTCCTCACCTTCACCTCCCTTAGCTCGACAGCATCAGCCCTGGCTGTGGCAGGGACAGCCACACTGGGACGGCTGCCTGCCTGCCTCGGGACTGGGGTTTTGATTAAACTGGGATGTTTTCTATACCTGGCTCTGCTTGCTGAGGGACGAGGCTGGCAGGGAGTGGGTACACCTGCACAGGGGGCAAAGGGGAACCCTGCCACTTCCCAAAGGATGGGGTGTCCAAACCTGCCCTGGGCTCTTTTCCACCCACCACCGCTCCGGGCACGGAGCATGCCGGGCGTGGGAGAGGCAGGTG